AAATCTCCAACAACCATATTCCCTTTCCACACCCACCCAGCGCGTGTAGAATTCTAGAATTACAAACACCAAACACAACCATAGCTTTTGACTAAACTACACTTTGATCCTTAAGAGGTTGATCTTAAAAGTGTTTTTAACAATAAATCCCGAAACGAAATAAAATCCCAAATCTATAGAAGTCAAAGATATATTAATTAAATTATAAATTAGTCCCTCTAGTTTTTAAAAAATAAAATTAATTAGTCTTTTTTAAAAAACTACTATTTAATCTTTTAATTGGTGTTGAACATGCTTAATTTAATATTATTTTTATCCAATAAAATCTCTTTTTTTGTGAAACTTTCCATATTTTTCATGTTTTTTTATTTCTTGAAATAAAAATCAAAATAAATTAAAAAAAGCAAAAATGGCTAAATTAAAAGTAGATTTCAAAATATGAGGATTAAATGATTAATTTTTTAAAAAAGAAGGATTAATTAATTTATTTTTCAAAACAAGAGGGACTAATTTATAATTTAGTCAAAATAGATTATAACTATTTTGTTTTTTTTTGTTTTTATTGTCCTGAAGAGACCAAACGACGTTATTTTTTAGCGTTTCTCTTTCTCTTCCATGCTGTGTCGGGAGGTATTTTAGCTGCAGTCGCTTCGTGCACTCGCTTTGGCTAATTGCCAAAGAATGTTGCCACGTGTCCCCCAATTTGATTATACATTACCGAAAATTAGAGTAAATATACTCTTTTATGTTCCTATAATACTCAAAGTTTTTAAATTTATAATTACATTTTTGTTATTTAAAATATTTAATCTACCATTTCAATCCATTTTTTTTATCAAATGAATTTTTAATTGATATATTTATGATTAAAATACAAAAAATAAAAATAAAATAATTTTTTTAAAAGTTTTAAATATAAAATATGTAAATCATCTTTAATTGATTTTGCTTTTTGGTAATTTAATAAAAAATATTTTAGTCAATTTTTTATAATAAAAAACAGACTGAATATTTAAAAAAATTAAAAATAATGAGATATAATTAAAAATTTAAAAATAGATATAAAATTTTAAATATTATATGAAAACAGACAAAGAGAATCATTAAGATTTGAACTTGCTTCATCCTAGGAATTTATCAAATATAGATATGTAAAGATGCTAACCTCACGCTCGACGGTTTAAGTTACCAACGATCACAATTTTTTTTTTTAATATTCAACTACCTTCACCGCGCAGTCCCCGTTCTTCGATGCAACTACCTAACCAACGTAGGGCTTCTAGAATTCCATATCGTCATGAATGAGCACTAGACAACTCCCATTGTTTTGGGTAAACTACACTTTGATCCCTAAACCATTCGAATAGTTTCAAAAAGTTTGAATCCTTAAAAAAAAAGAAAAAACCAATTCAACCCTCTTTTGATACATTATCCCACATATCAATAGCGTCAACATCTTCGTACCATGATGTCTCTTTGTAAATCTATGTCCTAATTATTTGCTAGTTTCAGTATTAAAAACATTTATAATTGAAGAATTTTAGTTGATTATATTATAATGGGTGCTATTTTCATTATCATTCTTATACAAGATTATGACGAGTCATATATTACTTAATAGTTGAATTTTCATTAATTTATATTAATTGTTGCTAAAAAGAGACTTGAGCTTGGTTGCATTTTTGTCATTATTATTTTATAATATGTGTATTTTCAAAGGGTAGGATCAGAGGTTAATAAGATTTATTTTTCTATGTTGATTACGTTTGATATTAATATCTGTTTATTTATTTAAATGTACTAAAGTCGATGTGAAAGTAGATTCTTACGGATATTTAAAGAGATGAATTATTCTTAATTGATATACAATCTAATTTGATGGTATTTTCACCACCAAATAATGAAAAATATTCATTTTCTGAATTTTGATGAAAGTGGTTAAGAAAAAATTTTTTTTAATAAAGTTCAAAAAATTAATATTTTTGTATTACATATGATATAAAAAAGTTTGATATTTTTACCTATCTTTATATGATAAGTTAAATTTTCAATTTGTTATTAAATTAAAAAAAAAAAAACACTTTCAATCTGTACTTTATATTTGAATTGATTTCTAATATATTTTTTTGGTTAAAATTTTCTACTAATTTATAAAAAATTAATTTTTGTATTAGTAGATATAAATTACTTGTGTAAAAAATAAAGATAATTTTCTCAAATCACATATCATGTGTAAATCATATGCTTAATTTGATCGAAAATTTTAACTAAAAAGATAAATGAGAAACCAATTCAGATAATAAGAAAAGATTAGAGATAATTTAAAATAAATTAAAAATCTTACTTATTATATAAAGATAGATGAATGTATTAATCTTAAAAAAATAACATTATAAAAATAATATTTTAAATTTAGTAATTGATGTATTGAAAACATATAATGATAAATCATGAATGATGATTAAACGCGAGTAGACACAAAAAGGAGTACAGAAGGTTGGAGTTAGTTATAATCATACCATCTCCATTCATGTAGCATTCGTGGTCTGACTTTCATTAAAAAGGCATTAATTACTCTTGCAGAAGTGTCAAAACTCTGAGCTTGATTTCGAAAATTTTTTAACAATACAACCCAAAGTGAAATATTCCAAAAACTATTGAATCAAACTATTTTTTAGCGTACTATTTGGTGGATTTAGCAATACCCAGGCTAAAAGGAAACAACCTATTTATAAGCGGCTCTCTGTGTTTCACGCCTTAATTCACTCTCCAAATTCTTCTGATCTCTGTAAAAAAAGTACTCGTAGAACACAAAAGACCAGAAAAAGATGGCACAAGAATCATCACTCAACACAGCTTCACGGAGAACCAGAATACTAAACAACCACCTCGTTCAATCTCCTTCAAAACCCACTTCTTGTCTTCAATCAAATTCTTGTTTAAGCTATACACCGCCAGAACTAACCGAAAGTTTCGATTTTGACACCAAAGAAATGAGAAAAATCCTTGATTTCCACAACTTGGAGGACAGAGACTGGCTGTTTGGTGTTATCAAGCAAGGGAGAGTGTTTAATGGGAAAGACAGAGGTGGGAGGTTGTTCGTAAATCCTGATTATAATCAGACAATGGAGCAGCAAAGAGAGATGACTATGAAAAGGATTGAGTATTTGTTAGAAAGAGGTGCTTTTGATGGATGGTTGACCAAAAAAGGGGTTGAAGCTGAATTGAAGAAGTTGGCTTTGCTTGAAGTTATTCAGATTTTTGATCATTCTCTATCTGTTAAGCTTGGCGTTCATTTCTTTTTATGGTACTAACCGTATTATATTGATATTGATTTGCGTTTTTTATTATTTATTTATTTTTGTGTGTTTTTTGGATCAATGGATTGCTGTTAATTTTCATATCTTGTTTGTGGTTGCTTTGTTTCTTTCTTTAATATATATATATTTTTATCACTGTTGTATTTGTGATTTTTGGGTTTCGGATTAATGGGTTAGCATTAGTTTTTCTGTTAGTTTCTTGTTGATTTTGCGGGCCTTTAATGGAATAGCAACTATGAAGCTGTTATGTTGTCTGTTTGGTTGCTGAGAAAATTGAGGGAAAGAGTGAAATGTTTATTTTTAAGATGAAAAGAATTTTGTTCTTGGACATTCTTTTGGTTGTTGGGAATTTAGTATGAATCCTGAAATCGGGAACTGAGGTTCGCTTTGTTGATTTATACGAAATGTCTTTTTTCCATTTAATTAAATAGATCACTTCTCGATAATTGACTTTTCATATTGGCAAACAATAAAATAAAATAAAATAATAATAATAATAATAATAAAAGAATCCTTGGTTCTTGAACTGGACTGAATGCAGTTTGTTGTCTTTGCATTCAATTCAGGGGAATATTGAAGGGAAAAAAATAAATAAATCATAAACCTTGCTGTTAGTGTTGAATTTTTGTATCAGTTCAATTTAACAAGGCTTGGTTTAGAATTTAAGAGCAAAATTGTTGTCCATTGAATTTGATTTTTTTTTCCGTTAATTAATTTCAGGGGTGGTGCTATCCAGTTTATGGGCACAAAGCGCCACCATGACAAGTGGCTAAGAGACACAGAAACTTATGCAATCAAAGGTTGCTTTTCTATGACCGAGTTGGGCCATGGGAGTAATGTACGTGAAGGCTGTCAATCTTTTTGCTTTTTGTTATTACACTCATTACCAGGGTTTCTATCTGGTTACCAATTCTCATTTGTGTTCGTTTGTCCTCTTTTCTTTGTTGATGTTTTTAGGTTCGAGGAATTGAAACAGTCACAACATATGATTTGAAGACTGGAGAGTTTGTAATCAATACTCCTTGTGAATCAGCTCAGAAATATTGGATTGGTGGGGCTGCAAATGTAAGGGTTTTCTCAATTTATTTGTTAATTAATTCCTCTCTTTTATTGTCCTCTTTGCAATTTTATCTATGCTGACACAGTTTCATTGGTGTTCAGCATGCAACACACACCATAGTCTTTTCTCAGCTCAACATAAATGGGGTGAATGAAGGAGTCCACGCCCTGATAGCCCAGATCAGGGATGTAAATGGAAACATATTGCCAAACATCCGTATAGCTGATTGTGGCCACAAAATTGGTTTGAATGGTGTTGATAATGGTCGAATCTGGTACTAATCATGCTTCTGTTTCATTGTCAATGACTATTTTATCACATGATGAATGTGATGAAGATTTTGGGGACTTTTTTCAGGTTTGACAACGTGCGCATCCCCAGAGAGAACTTGTTGAATTCGGTTGCTGATGTTTCACCAGATGGCCAATATCTGAGTGCAATAAAAGACCCAGATCAAGTAATTATTTCGTGCTTTCTCCATTTTCTTTAATCACTGACCAAACAAATAAGTCAATTTTCGCATGTTCTTTAACCAGAGGTTCGCAGCATTCTTGGCCCCTTTGACATCTGGTCGCGTAACTATTGCTACTAGTGCAATTTACTCCTCTAAGGTATTGGATAACGATGGTTTTCATTTTTATGTAGATATGTAATTTCGTATTTATTGAAGATTACAAAAATTTTTGTAAGGGTGATTGTTTACTGCTAGTGCATGTTCCGCTTTAAGGTATAGGATTAGGCACTAGCTCTAGTAGCCGTATTGGATTGGGCTAGTTCAAACCCTAACAGTTCTGTGGTTCAATATTGAGAAGTACATAACTGTTTTGTTTAGATAACTGCTTTCGGAAAAGTGGATGATGCACTAGTGGTTAGCCTATTTACTCATCAAAGGAATTGGATTAAGGTTGTGAATTAAAGCATACAGATGACATGACAGATGGGTTCTAAGTAATGCGAAAAATGGATTTAAATATCTGATCAGAAAGAGTAATTTTCATCCTACTTGTTAAAGCTTTGTGTTCATGGTCCATTGTATTTTTACCATCCCTTCATAGCTGGCTGTTCCTACCCAATTTGATTTTCCATCCATATGGGCGTCATTCTTTTCTTGTCAGGTTGGCTTGGCAATTGCTATTAGGTATTCATTGAGTAGGCGGGCATTTTCTATTACACCTGATGGACCTGAAGCCCTTTTGCTTGATTACCCAAGTCATCAACGGCGACTCTTGCCTCTTCTTGCTAAGTCGTAAGCATCTAAGTAGTCATTACTCAGTCATGCTGAAATTTGTAATATATTCACTCTTTTGGGATGTCAAATTGTGCTTCATGCATCCAATTTCAAACCAGTAAGACCCACCGTGGTAATGAAGTTTCAATTGTACTCAAGTTTATTGCGTGCATCTGAGGAATTTTACAATTTGCTTAAGCCTTAGTTTGACATCAGTCTTCTGTCTGCGTAATGCGAAATAATTGTGTTTATTCACTAGTTCCTTTTTGTAGAGCCATCTTCATTTATTGCCCTTTTCTAGAATTTTATAAAAAGGATTATTGTGCTGTTTTTATGTGCAATGTCAACATGATGGTTGGGATAATGCAGAATGTGGTCAGGACAAATCACAAAATGTCATCCTGTTGTCTTTATCAAAGCATCATTTTTATCGTACTACAAAATCATATCTCAAAGTCTAATACTACTTCTGTGAATAGTAGATGCTCCGGTTGTAATGTATCCTCCAACGGCCTAGGCAATGCTAGTTCTGTGAACTGGCCATGCAACTTGGTTTTGGAATTGCTTCTGCCTTGCAGCTTATTGCTTGTAGATAAATAAAATCTCATTCTGAGTTATTTCTTTTCTCATTCCCGTGGAATGAATCCTTGTCATGCAGATATGCTATGAGTTTTGGAGGAAATTACTTGAAAATGATATATGTGAATAGAACCCCTGAATCAGCCAAAACTCTTCATGTTGTTTCAAGTGCGTTCAAGGCTGTCTTCACCTGGCATAACATGAGAACCCTCCAGGTGAGGTGCTATAATTAAATATGAAATTTAGGTTATGGTAAAAAGCTTTGCTGAATTTCACTGGATTCATGTTCATTAGGAATGCCGTGAAGCTTGTGGAGGACAAGGTTTGAAGACTGAAAATCTAATTGGTCATATGAAAGGTGAATTTGATGTCCAATCAACTTTTGAGGGGGACAACAATGTTCTCATGCGGCAGGTACCGTGTATTGCGTGCATTTGGGTGAAACTTATTCAATGATGACAGCAAGGTTTTGCTGAAAAAAGAACTACCGGATGATACTTCTCTTTTGGGTTTTGGGTGGGTTAGGGGATTTAGCATAACTAGGCATGCCTTATGAGCGTTTTCTATGTGTCAGTTTTTCTTCCACTGAAAAAAGGTGACTGGTAATTAAAATCTATGTGGTGATGTAGGTGTAATCCAAGTAGATTGAACAATGCTTTGAGTTTTAACAATGATTTTGAGCTAGTCTTTATGCTGACTTGATTCTTCTGTTCCTCATTTTAGAACATCCAAAAATTGGTTTCAACAAAATTAAGTTTGCTTGCACATACTTTAAGATTTCGGTTTGAAGCAGTGATTTTTTGTTTCAGGTCAGCAAGGCACTCCTTGCAGAATATGTAGCAGCAAAGAAGAAAAACAGACCTTTCAAGGGTTTGGGATTAGAACACTTGAACGGACCCATCCCTGTAATTCCATCCAATCTGACAAGTACCACCCTCAGGAGCAGCAAATTCCAGGTAATTTATTGTCTAAGTTTGTAAGCAGATTGACCTTTCTCAACATATGTCATACGCCTCACCAGTTGTGTGCATCAGATGAATGCTTTCTGCTTGAGGGAGCGAGATCTTCTGAACCGTTTTGCAGCAGAAGTGTCACTTTATCAATCAAAGGGTGAAAGTAAAGAGAGTGCATTTATTCTGGTAGGGATGCTTTTCTGGTCATAAAGCTGCTGCTTTCGAGTTCCACATCTTCCATTCTGATCGTTGTTGTTGATGGGCTTTTGTTTTAACTATTTGCACCAGAGTTATCAACTTGCAGAAGACTTGGGCAGAGCTTTCTCAGACAGAGCTATTCTGCAGACCTTCACTGATGCTGAGGCAAATGTATCTGCTGGTTCCTTGAAGGTAAGCAATATAGAAACTATTCTTGTAATTTATCTACACATTAGCCTGATGATATAATTTGCAAAGCTTTAAACCATTCTGTGATGTCCTAACATAATACGAAGGCATAATTAGTAATGACTGGAGGAGTCAGGACATGATGAATTGCAGCCAAAACAAGTTTTTTCTCATGCTAGGAATCCCACAATAGGTGGGTAAGTAAGTTTGAGTTGTATTTATAATTAAAAATAACTAAAGTTTTGGAGGGAAACAGATGAGAAGGGCACTGGATACATAGTCGTAGAACACACTTCATTGATGACTCAGTTAAAGTTCCTGTAACAAGCCTTGAAAAAATCTGTCTCCGATTCACCGGAGAAGAAAAAAAAAAAATTTCTGCCAACGTAAGGAGTTTGTAGAAGAGTTTAGGGAAGTGGGTGATGGAAGAATTATTTTGAGTTAAGGAGAGATTTAGTATGAATAGAAACTCTGAAGGGATGCTTTCTTAATTGCATCAGATTTTCGACTGGTAATCTTCATTGCTTTCCCCAAAATTTTGACCTATAAAGAACATCAGTAACTAACCTAAATGTTTGGTATGGAATATACAAGATGTTAGAGAGGGGGGACCTTATCTTGCTGAATTTGTGGGTTTGCTGCTTTCTTTGCAGAATGTCCTGGGTCTGTTGAGATCCATGTATGCCTTAATCTGTTTGGAAGAAGAAGCTGCATTTCTCCGGTATGGTTACTTATCGACAGACAACGCTGCTGCTGTGAGGACCGAAGTGACAAAACTCTGTGGAGAATTACGACCACATGCACTTGCATTGGTCAGTTCCCTCGGCATTCCTGATGCCTTTCTGAGCCCCATAGCATTTAATTGGATCGATGCGAATTCATGGTCTTCAGTAAAATACTAGTCCCTGGAATCATTTTCTTTTCTTAAGCAAAAGTTTGATTGTTTTCCTTATTCTTATTTGCTTCAAGTCTTAATAAGAAAATGGGGTGACACCACAGATTGCTGTGATGGTGCTCCTCTGTATGTAAAACCATCTGTTAATAAATCGATTCCTCATTGTTCAGGTTCATTAGAACTAAGTCACATCACATCTGCTCTGAAATTTTCTTCGACCGTTGCATCTTGCTTGTGTTGAAGAAAGTGAAAGAACAAGGCTTTTGCAAGGAAAAAAGAAAAATAAACCAAGGTGTAATTTGATAAAGAGTTCATTATTCTAAGTTAGGGATGACAATAGATGGGTATTCGATATATTAATTTAATTTTTTATCCTATTTATTATTTATTAAAAAATCAGTATATAATTCTTTATTCATTCCATATAATATCCATTAAATTAAATATCATGTTAAATTTATATTGTCAAAAATATTCATTTTAGTCTTTATTAATTTTTTTAAAAAATTTTGATCCTTAAATTTTTTTTTCGCATTTTCATCATGTATTTATAAATTTTTTTTACTCCTCAAAGTTTTTTTTTAAAATATTTTGATCTTTGATTTTTAAATTTTATACAATTAGATCCTTACATGTTAATAAAAAAATCTAAATAAATTAGTGGATATTAATAGGGTAAAAACTGGGTATTCATATACCAAAATCATATTAATATATATATAATTTTTTATACTTACCCATTTCAACACCCATCGAACATTCTTAATCGGTATTTATTAGATTGAGTAAAGCGGATACTTATTTTATATTCGGTCCATTGTCGTACTTAAAACAAACAAAATAATTTATAATAATTAAGCCTTGTAGTTTTAAAAAATAATTAGCAACCAGGTATTTATATAGGCGAGGACAACGTCATTAGAAGAAAATGGTTAGGAAAAAGGATTTTGAGACAAAAAATGAGTAGGTTACTTTTTTGATTTATCAGGCATCTTCAAACCATTTTTTTTCCTAAATGATCTTAAGGACTTATTCTACGTCGATTTTGTGTGTTAAAAAAACATTTAATAAATTTTTCTAAATAACGACTTTAAGGTTTGAACATAAGAGAATAAATAAATAGAGTTGACTTTCTTAACTATTAGACCAACCTCCAGAATTAAACTTGAATTAAATTAGTGGATTATTATGTTGAAGAAAAATGGTTGGAAAAGAGAAAGAAATTCATGAAAATGATGATTGATTAAAAAAAAAAAAAAAAAAAAACTATGTAGGATCATAAAATTAGGCTTCCATTTTGAATTGGTGTTATATTACTATGTAATATTCGTTTTTATAAATATTGACAGTTTATGCACGATTCCATCTCAATCTTATTTGTGGATTTTATTTTTTTACTATATTAAACAATTCCACGAATACTTTTCATTTCCATATTTATGTGAAAGGTAGAAGAAAAGGGAGGTATAATTCCTGATATATTTAATGATTTACTTTGGAAATTTATTTAATGTGGATTACCGTATCAATAAGTGTAATATTTCCTTTTGCATGTTCAAAGGAGGAATAATTCCTCCTAATCTAAAGTATGTTTGGGTAATATTAGGATTAAATTGAGGATCCATCCTTTCATATTTATCAAGTTGTTGTTAATGAAAAATTTTAAAATATTCAAAAAATAATTTATAATAATTATTTCATAAACCTACTTTAAAGGGAAAGACAAAGATAAAATAAAAAAATAAAAAAATTACATGAGACTCGTCAAAAGTGATAAAAATATTTTTGCCGAAACTCAAAATTCATGCGGTGATTACTATAACTTCTCCTAATTATAATACTAATACATAAACCCATTTCGAAAAGAAAAAAAAAGACATAAAATAGAGAGAACATCACATTTATTTTTTTATTTTTGATCTCTAAGATATCTCGGACTTAAAAATCCAAACTAATCTCTCGATATACAATCGGATGTATAAAGTGAATATAACTATTCAAAGAGTTTTTTTATGTATATAAAAACTCGAAATCGAGAATACTTAAGTGACTAGAGTTTCTTTCCTTCTTTCAAACTACCCCTATTAGGTACATGCATCACATTTATTCTTTGTGCGTGTAGAATAAGTAATGTAATTAGGAGAAGTTATTGTAATGGTTTGTATAAATTTTAGCGGTAAATGAAAGGGCGACTTGCTATATCTTTAGAAACTTTGCTCTTTTGGGAGGATTTTAGCATTAATGATGGCATTGCGTTGCATTTGCAATGCCAAAACAAGCAAAACGGACACACAATCATTCTACTAGTAGTAAAGTTAACAAGACAAGGATCTGCTGTGTTTCTTTCGTTTTTCTTTTGCGTGCGATCGGTTTTTAGCCAAAGCCTATACATAAATCTTGACAGCAAACCACAATTTACCTCAAACGAAACAAAACCAATCTGCGGCTGTAAAGTTGAACTTGTCGCTGTTGTTGTCGTTCCATTTTATGATCAATGGCGGATGACAATACTACTGCAACTTTCTGGACTCAGGCTGATGCTTTACTCCGAAAGAACTTAACCTATCAGGTATTTATTTTATGTTCATAAAATTGAAAGAATGGTCCTTACTTTTCGATTTCGATTCTTCATTTTCTACCACTGTTCTTCATTTCCGGTTTTTAAAAATTTTAGACAAAGCATAGCAATTATACTAATGGAATAGATTGATTTATTGATTTGTTTGCAGAAACGAAATAAGTGTGCTAATTGCCGCCTTATTTCCTTCCCATTGTTCTTCTGTCTGATCCTTTTTGGCATTCAGATAATTACTGAGATTGCCTCTATATCAGACAGCAAAGAGACTAGTAGTGATCGGTGTGGTTACCAATTCTCAGATTTGGATCAATTGCAGAGTTGTCCCATTCCTAGCCCACCAAAATGGCCTCCATTTTTACAGGTTCCACCTCCCGAATATCGTGCTGTTAGAAGCAGTTCTTCTCATCTTTTTCAAGATTTGCCGGACCAGTCTTGCAGGCACAAGGGGAACTGTCCTGTCACTACTTTAATCACTGGAAATAATCAAACCCTTGCACAGAGTAAATTTCTGTCTCATGAGTTTACTAATTTTTTGTTTGCCTGGAAAAGATGGACATGAATAATGAATATTTCTGTATAGCTTTTATCTTAAACTTCCTTCTAATTAATTTTATCTGTATTTTTCATAGCTTTGGCTGGGAATATATTCGACACTGATGTCGTCCTGGTAAGTTGTTTGATCTTTAATTGCTTTTTATATCTTTCCTGACTATATAGGTATATAATACTATGACTTTTTTCTCCAACTGTTTCAGGGTTCAGCTACAGAACCAAGTCATGATTTTTATATTGATTCTGCTTTCATCGAGAAGAATTCTTCTCTCTATAACATTCAAAGTCAGTGCGGATCGAACTCTACGATCTCTGTTTCGGTTCCCATTCCTCGGTCATTCTTGAAAGTCCAAAAAGGTGTGTACTTCTCCAAAAATATCATTTTTTTAAAACAAATTAATGGAGCAAATAACAAAACACTGAAACAGTTGTAGTAATCTATGAAACAGAAGAGAAGGGGAGGATTAGAAATTGAATTTTACCATACTGTAAAGAGTTTGATTCACATTCTCATGTTCTATTCTATCTTTGTGTCTTCTTTTAAAAGGGTATGATGAACTCCTTCTATGTTTCTTTTGACTATGGGCTTAAAATTAAGCACAGAAAACAAGTCTCTTTCTTCCCTGTGTTTGATGAATCTATGTGCAAATATTCTAAATCCTTGTCTATTCACTTGTGTTCTTAAATACAGATGCAGTATGTGTTCGAAGTCTAAATTTGTGGCGCAATTCTTCTCTCGAAATAAATAATCAGATATACATGGGCCATGAAAAAGGGAATGCAGAAGAGAAGTCCAATGAGATACTTGGAGGTTAGTCTTCCTGATTTCAACACATCTCTTTTTTCTGATTACAGTAAGGGGTAATCATTATGTTTGAGGAATCTTTAACAGTTTCGTTTTTCTGCAGCTTATGATTTCCTAAACTCCAATGGCAATAATTTCAATGTCAATGTCTGGTACAATGCCACCTATAAGGGTTCTTCTTCTCTGCGATTACCACGAGCAATAAATCTGGTACATAATGCACTTCAAGTGTTTATTCTTATGATTATGATTTCTAAAGCTGATGTTCATATCCTTACAGGTAACAAATGCCTACCTTCAGTTGTTTAAAGGGCTTGGTGCAGAAGTGAAATTAGAATTTATCAAAGAAATGCCTAAACCTTCAGATGCGCCATTCAAGTTTGATATCGCATCTCAACTGGGCACCCTCTTCTTTACATGGGTTATTTTTCAACTATTTCCCGTAAGCATGTGCTCCACTGCTTGTCAGCATTTATTTATTTTGAGGCTAGAATTTTGTTGCAAATTTTGTTCAAATCATGATTCACTTAGAAATAGCTAAAGAATTTTTATCACAACAAGTCTATTATTAAAGAAGCAACATAAGTTAGTTCAGCTAGTTTCTTCCTTTGAAAATGACAACCTTTTTTTCTGAATTTATATGATCTTATTTACTTTGCCATTTTGCTCTAGGTTGTGTTGAATTCGTTGGTTTATGAGAGACAACAAAAACTGCGGATCATGATGAAAATGCATGGGCTTGGAGATGGGCCTTATTGGATGATTTCTTATATGTATTTTCTTTCTATATCTGCACTGTACATGCTTGTTTTTGTTACGTTTGGGTCAGTTTTAGGTAGGCATGATCCAATCCTCAATGCTTTTTTAAATTAGCCTTTACTAGCTTCAAGTTATTAACATGGCTAAATAACAGGGTTGAAATTCTTCACACTAAATGACTACTCCATCCAATTTGTGTTCTTTTTCCTCTATATAAACCTGCAAATTTCCCTGGCGTTTCTAGTCTCTGCGTTCTTCTCGAACATTAAGACTGCTACAGGTTTGACATTATGAACTGCTGGACTTGTTTGTTAAATGATATTTACCTCAGCAGGTTACCTAGTTTCCTGGACTTTGATGGTTGAATTTTTATGGTTACAGTGACAGGCTATTTATGTGTCTTTGGGAGTGGGCTTCTAGGTGAATATCTTCTCAAGTTCTTAATTGAAGACACCACTTTCCCAGGTAAGTAGAAGAAACTGTGAAGCCAAAGTACTTTTTATCCCCCTCAGGTTTTCCTAGTTAACAAATGATGTTTATGAGAAAGAAACCATAAGTTCAGATTTGGTGATGTTGCAGTTGTTTCATTATCTAATATTTTAACAGATGTGAGGAGGCTAATGATCATCCATATGATTGAACTTGCCTAGGTTTTTAAACACTGTATTTCTACTTTTTGCCAATAGCTTTACTCATAATGGGATTTGTTTCTGCTGTTACAGAAAGATGGATCATTTTGATGGAGTTATATCCTGGTTTCGCTCTATATCGTGGGTTGTATGAATTTGGAGAGTATGCTGCCTCAGGTAGCGTTACGGATACCGATGGAATGAAGTGGGGAAATTTGTTTGATAGTGACAATGGAATGAGGAATGTGATGATTATCATGCTTCTTGAGTGGTTACTGGTCCTCTTCATAGCATATTATGTGGATCAAGTTTTTTCATGTGGAAGTGGCAAACATCCTAAATATTTACTGCAAAAACTTCGGAAGAAGCATAGTCGATCATCATCTTTTCAGAAGCCCAGTTTGCACGAGCCAGGATCTAAAGTTTTGGTTGATATGGATAAACCCGACCTCCTTCAGGAGGTAACATTTTCTTGAATTTAGTTTTGTCACCGAGTGACCATTTCCTGCTCCAATCTGTTGTTCAAATATTTTAGTGTCAACTGTTCATAGTCAGGCGTGTGTAAATGTTAATATCGTTGGCACCCTTTTGAATGCAGAGGGAGAAGGTTGAGCAGTTACTTTCGGAACCATCAACTCATGGAATCATCTGTGACAACCTGAGAAAAGTGTATCCAGGAAGGGATGGAAACCCAGAAAAATGGGCAGTGAAAGGATTATCTCTTGCTATACCTCAAGGAGAGTGCTTAGGCTTGCTTGGTCCAAATGGTGCAGGGAAGACCTCTTTTATTAGTATGGTCAGTATAAAAATGCTCTTTGCTAATACAATACTTGCATTTCTCTAGTATTTCTGACGTTATTCTGTTGATCAGATGATCGGGCTGACGACGCCAACCTCAGGGGCAGCATATGTTGATGGTTTAGACATACAGACTCAGATGGATTCGGTCTATACCAGAATTGGGGTGTGCCCACAGCATGAGTAAGTTAAAATTCTTGGTTCTGCTTTCTTCAAGAAACTAACACATTTCCCATCTTCATCCTTAGCTGAGATCAATCTGAATTTTTTGTTTTTTGTTTAATTTGTTTTTGTTACTTTTAGTCTGCTATGGGATGCTCTGACCGGAAGAGAGCACTTATTATTTTATGGCAGACTTAAGAACCTAAAAGGTGTTGCTTTGAAAAGAGTAAGTCATTATCATTTTAGCATTTAGCTTGTCAAATGTCATTCACTTTCTCTAAGAAATAGGTAACTGTTGGAGGATTTTCAGTTGGAAAATTGTCAAAGGTCATAAAATTGCTCCAGCAAATCAGAACCTAACCAAATTTAGGTTTAGTTTCTAAGCTATCTTAAATGGATCAGTTTCAAGTTTTTCTTATTTACCTTTCTGTTGGTCTAGGCAGTGGAAGAATCTCTTAAGAGCCTCAAGCTATTTGATAGAGGGGTTGCTGACAAATATGCTGGGAAATACAGTGGAGGTATGAAGAGAAGGCTTAGTGTTGCCATATCACTAATTGGAGATCCCAAAGTATGCCATTTTCTCTCTTAAAAACATATACTTTTCGGCATGAAATTCTCTTGTTTCTCGTAACTTTTGAAATTTTTTTTTACAGGTTGTTTATATGGATGAACCCAGTTCTGGATTAGATCCAGCTTCTAGAAGCACTTTATGGAATGTCGTAAAGCGTGCGAAGCAAGACAAAGCAATTGTTCTGACCAGTATTATCACTACTACTGCTAATCTCTCTGATATTTCTCTCTAATAATGAGTGTTTCAAATTACAGAAATTTCCTTTAGGCCTTGCAGTTTTGAGTGCTCATCACAAGGCTTGACTTGGTGTTTTCAGCACATTCAATGGAAGAGGCAGAGCACCTGTGTGATCGAGTGGGAATTTATGTTGATGGAAGCTTGATGTGCATAGGAAACCCAAAAGAGGTACCTCTTCTTTCTTTCTTTCCGTTTTTCAGGAAACAAGGCAGTGCCTTAAAAAATTTTATTAGATGAGAAAAATGAAAATAAATTCTTCGAAACTTAATTAGTATATCTTTTGCATATTTATTGTGCCAATATGGGACGATTTGCATATTTACGTAAATAAATATACTGATATGACAATCATTAAGTCAAATATATAGATAAGCTAAATTGACATTTTTATGAAAATGACGACTAAAATGTTGATTATCATGTCAACAGAACTATCGATATTGGCTTGTTGACGCGTTTCCGAGCAAAAATTATAGCATCCTAGGCTTATGTTGTGTTTATATTTATATTATGTATGTATGTATTTAATTATTAAACGCTATTCTTATACATGTTGTGTATTAATGCAGCTAAAGGCTAGGTATGGGGGAACTTACGTTTTCACAATTACAGCATCTGTAAATAACGAGAATGAGGTGGAGGACATGGTTCGGGATCTCTCCCCTAATGCTGAAAGAACGTACCATTTGGCTGGAACCCACAAGTTCGAGATGCCAAAACATGAAGTTAGCATTGCAGGTGTATTCCATGCAGTTGAGGTCGCAAAAGGCAGGTTCCCTGTTTATGCTTGGGGTCTGTCTGATACCACCTTGGAAGACGTCTTCATCAAGGTCACAAACTCAGCCCAGCAATCCCACACACCTTAAATTGACAAAACCTAGCTATAAAATAAACATTTCTTTCTGTGAAAACTTTGTATGGTTGAGCTGAAAAAAAAAATCCAAACATCTGAATAGTTGATCTCATTTTAAAATAAAAAATAATTCAAGTTGTTTGTCTTGTAAATATTTTCATATGGTTACAAAATTTTTAATAAAGCATAACAGTATGTTATGCAGTAATTAAGATCAAGATAAGCTATGAAACTAGCAATAAACATTAAAAGTTTCACAGAGCAAATAGACTTCAAGTTCTATCTTTGTCCAACCAAGTAATTATATATTTAGTGTGTGAACATTTTAATTTTTTCTTTAATCTATTTTTAAGGTGGATTGGTTTATATTTTGATGCTTAATTGATTTGTTTATTACAAAATTTTCAATAAATATAATTTTATTTGCGATATAATTTGTTGATTTTTGTCATATAGCTTGCTTGATTTGGTTACATAATCTACTATCGTGTTGCTTAATTTTGTTATATAAAAAAAAGGCAAAACCATCATTTTGCTTCAAATTTATTGTCATCTTACCAAAATTGACAAAATGTTGATCAATTAACCCCAATCAATATCTGTCTTAAAAAGAAATCAAATTCACTTCATAGAAATAAAAGAATTAACTTAAATTTTTAGTTTTAAAAAAACTAAAAATAATTTTTTATAATACAAAAAATTGACAGAATTGTTATGAATACTTGAGATGATTTAGTGATTGAAGGTTTGAGAGCTGATGGTGAACGATATCGACACACAACTATAAATTTTGTAAATGTAAATAGAAGTCTTCTTCAAACCTTCAATCAATCTGTCAAATATATCACCTTAATCCGGTTAAAGATACACTTAAAAAATTAATTTAATTTTTTACCAAATATTTTTTAATTTTTATATTCACTCTACAATTTCCATAACCTATAGAATCAAAAATTCAAATATCAAGAGCAATCAGGGATTTTCATTATAAAATGGGTCACATTTGGAACTTCTCCAACTCAAAGCTAAAATTAAACCATCAAATAATAACACATTGAATGAAATTTCACAACCAACAAAGAGCTTTAATAAGCGTTAAATCTATTCAATCTTTCTAATCTAGAGCTAAATATTCAAATCAAATTCATGATCACTTGATAATCACAACTAAAAATGTTTTCGTAAAAATATGCATTATGAATCTCGAACTAAAGCTCACATCATAAGTTTTAGAAGATCTTAACTCATCCTAGATATCATATTTACATAAAGAATCAACTCATCCTAGACATCATATTTACATAGAGACTAATATCGATTTGAACTTTTGGAACCACTTTTTTAGAAAAACCTCTATTTATTTTCAAATCAATAATTTTATCAATTTAATCCCAAACATAAAAAAAAAAAAAAAAAATCAATCTAGTCTTTTTATTAATGTTCACAAATATATATATTTTTTTTCAAATTGATGTAATTTTAGTTGGATTTTAAATCTCTTTGAAATCAATTAAGGCTTGGTTACTTGATAAGTTTCGGCCAGCTTTAAACTTTAGGGCTAACTAGTTTGGTTTTGTTAGATTGCTTGGTGATTGTGTTTCAGATTATTATTAAATTTGTGAGTTGTAGTATTCAGTTTGTCGGTTATTTTTAGTTTTCTATTATTTTCACAGGACATCAACCTGTGAAATTTCCTCGAGAAGTTAACTTCACCAATTACTAGTCCTAGAGATAAGAGGTCTTATAGTGCAGCATGATGCTTTAGGATTTCACGACTAGTCATCGTTCTGCTAGTGCAGCTGCTTATGTTAAAACTTGATTTCCATTCTTATTGGCCTTCCATAACTATCAAATCAAATCTACTCAAATGCCAACCAGTAATCTCTGTGTAGTCTTTTTATTTTGTTCTCTATTTTTTCTTTGGAATGCTAGTCTTGGCAGGTATTTGCCACTTTTGTGTTTTCAATTCTCGATGCCTCCATTATCATTTACTTAACACTCTTTTACACAGCAATTTCTACTCATCAGTTGATCATATGTTTATGTCTTATAAATCACTGTCTTGCATAATAAGTTTTTGAGGAAGAACTTCAGGATGGCAAATCTCTAGAAGATAGTTAATAGGACAAGCAACTATCTCATAGGAGGATGAAAAAATAGGAACTAGCCATTGAAATCAGTTAATAAACAACATTAACAATAGCTATTTTTCATCAGGTTCTGACGTCTAATTGATAATAAACAATCCATACTCTACATGTCTCCAACTGGCTCTCACTCTTGTCCGTTGCAATCAGGATTGGAGTTTAAATAGTGTGTTTTGATTGGCTTTTGCATATTATGAATTGTTGAGCATGATATTTTGGAGCTATTTTTGTTAGTGCTGAGGGAAGCATTTGGAACTGAAACTAGAGTACACTTACGGAGGGGGTGCAAGGCATATGTTTTTGGCATATTTTGAGTAGGATGTGCGAGAGAGATGGAGGTTTTGTGGGCTGTTTTGAAGAATAATAATAATAATAAAAAAAGGCTAGAAAAAGAGTAAAAAAGAAAAGAAAGATGATATATTGTGGCCATTAGGTAAAACGACGTCGTTTCAAAGGACTTCTTTCCTTTCAGTCAAAACGCATCGCTTAAATCAGCCAAAGTTTTTCGGTCCCTCAATGTCTCATTTTTTTTCACTTCGATCTTTGACTTTTTTTTGTTTATTTATTTCTATCCTTCATCTTTTCTATTCTTCTCGATTTCATCCTTAACCAACCTTTTTTTCCTTTCCTTTCTTCTTTTATTTGTTTTCTATCCTCACTTTTTTCTATTGATTCTACCCTGTGTCTTTTCTTTTCTATTCTTTTGATCCTCTATTTTACCCTCTCTCAATTTTTTGCCCCTATGTATTTTATTTTTCTTAACCTTTTTTCTTTTCTCTTCGGTCCTCCTTGTTTTTATTTTCTTTCATCTTCATCACCTTGATTTTCTTTCAATTGTTTTCTTCTCGCTTTTCTTTTCATCTAGAATTTTTCATTTTTCTTTCTGACTTTTTTTTCTTCAAATGCTTCTCCAAAAATTAGAAAAAAAAAAACCAGCATGCTTTTAAAAAAAGCCTAAAATTGCCACCGAAAAAAAAAAACAATCATAGATTTTTAAATCTTTTAGAATTTTTGGATAAATTAAATATTTTGAAATTTTGAAGGGTCAAAAAAAGGTTGTGATACTAACTTTAAATTAAATAAGTGTAAAAAAAACATGTACATGTCCAAAAAAATATATTAACTTACAAAAAACAACCAAAGTTAAAAATTAAAACCATTAAACAAACTCATTTAAAAAAAATTATAAAGAGAAACAAATCTTAAATAAATTTAAAATAATATTAGAAAATTATAAACACACACACACACACATATATATATATCTTCAAAATAACAATATCTAAGAAATTTACATATATATAACTTGAAAATAACAATATATAAGAAATTTTAGAAAATTAGCAAAAAATAAAATCAAAATAATCTCTGAATTACTATAAAACAAAAACATCTCCTATATTCACAAGATTATCGAAACATCCTCTAATTAATTTCAAACAACTAATCAAACTTCAAAATTTCACTTCAAATCAATCTATATCATAAAAAATAAGTGTAGGCATGCCACAAAGAACAATCAATTTTGCTTTGGAAACGTAACATTAGGATTAAAGAGTTATATAAAACAATAAAAAGTTTAAGGATATAAAACAATACAAAGTTTAAGGACCATAATAAATAGTATGATAAACTAGATGATCAGAAAGTTTAGGGTTCAAATTACATCTTGTTTGTTGCTTGCCAAAATCCATATTAACTTTTTTTTTTTTTTTCACTAAAAAATATATCCACACACTTCTAAAACCTTCTAAACTCGAATCAAACTTCAAAAGCCATTTCCAAAAAGCCATTTCTAAACAACTATTTTAGATTAAAATTTAATTTTATAATTTTTTGATCTAAAATTTTAAAATCTTATATCTCCTAATTTTAATGATGAAATTGTCTAATTTATATGTCCATAAATTTTTTGTGAGAAATTTTTTTAGTTAATTGTGTTTTTTAATTCCCATGAAAAACGAAATTAATCTGTGGACAATTACTGGATTTTGCTAACAATTTTATCTTTTATTATTATCATCATTATTATTTTAAACAATATGCTAATTAGATTTGGAAACTATATTTAAAACTCATGTAACATGAAGCATATGTACTTTTAAAATTCATTTTTGAATTTGATGAAGGCGAAAGTCTCTTCCTAAAACGACGAAAAGATTCTGGTTGGACATTTCAATAAAAATCCATTAATTAAATTCGTGGTACCGTGTATTTAAGGTAGCAAAATAAAAGGGAAATGTGATTTGACGAAAAGGCCCTGAAGTGATATCATATAAAATAGAGTAAATTATAATTTAGTCCTTTTAGCTTTTAAAAAATTGCATTAATTAGTACTTTCTGTTTCAAAAATTAATTATTTTAACCTTTGATCGATGTAGACTTTGTTTAATTTAATATTATTTTATTTAAAAAAATTCTTCTTTTCTCCTCGATCTTAATTTTCATAATATTTATTATTTTTTTTAAAAAAGCAACGAAAATTAAAGATATGAACAAAAATAACTTAATAATTTTTTAAACAAGGAGGATTAATTAATTCTTTTCTCAAAATCTGAGAGACTAATTTATAATTTACTCTAAAAATGACAAAAATTGGAAACAATACCGACCTTGAAATTTGATTTAATGGTAAATTTTATCCTTATTCTATTACAATTTGATAATTTCAAACTTATAATATTAAATTGCTTAATTTGAATCTCAAAGTATTGCAAATTAGACAAATAAAATTCAAATTATCCAATTTTCGTTATGTGTAATTTTCAACTAGGTTGATAGTTACTTTAAATAACAAAATGATGTGGTTTTGATATTTCGTTGTTAATTATTTTTTATTAAAAAAATTTTATAAATATTTTTGTCCCCCCTAATTTTGAACTGTTTAAAAATTTTTTATATAAAATATTATAAAAATTTTATAAATTATACATAAAAATATTTTATGAATATTTTTAACCACCTAACTTTGAAATTTTAAAAAAAATTATAAAATATTATTGTAAAAAAACATATTTAACAATACACAATTTCGAGCCTTAGAAAGAAACATTTTATAAATTAAAATGAGCATAATTAAGGATTAGCCCTCCTAATTTTATAAATTATATAAAAAAAATATTTAAAATATTTTATAAGAAAAAGTTCAAAATTAGGGGGATAAAAATATTTATAATATTTTATAAAAAAGTTTTAAAAGTTCAAGATTAAGGGATTAAAAATATTTTTAAAATATAATTTTTTTTAAAAAATATAATTAATAGCAGAATGCTAAAATAACGTTGTTTTGACATTTCAAGTAACGGTTAACCCAATTGATCATTACACATAATAGAGATTGAGCGAGTTTGAATCATATCATATTTGCTCAATCTCCAATACTTTGAGGTTTAATTTACGCTATTTGGTAATATATATATATATATATATATATATAAAAGTCTTTAAAAAAGTTCAAGATTAAGGAGTTAAAAATATTTTTAAACATAATTAGTAGCGGAATGCCAAAATAACGTCATTTTGACATTTTAAATAACGATTAATCCGATAGAATCGCTACGCATAATAGAGATCGGATAGTTTGGATCACATCTATCTAATCTACAATACTTTGAGGTTTAAATTACACGATTTGATAGTATGAACCTGAAATTGTTAAATTGCAATAGAATAGGAAAAAAATTTACCATTAAATAATTTTTGAAACAAGGAGGATTAATTAATTCTTTTCTCAAAATTTGAGGGACTAATTTATAATTTGCTCTTAAAAATGACAAAAATTGGAAACAATGCCGACCTCAAGACTTGACCATTTTATCTTCGTTGTTTCCTTGATAGACATTAAAAAACATCAAAAATAAGTTGCCTCTTTGTACTTTCCCATTTCCTGTTCCACCAAATCAAGCGAGTTAGCTCTGTCGTGGTGCATGTACTTCGACGAGCCAGGAATTCATTACTGCATCTGCCACTTCTTCAGTTTCTTCAAGTCGGTAAGCGTTATCTATTTCTTTCAAGCCCCAGTCGTCAGTAATATATGATTTTAACATATCCATTTCTATTTTATGTATGATTTCTAGTTGCATTACATGTATGGTTTCTTCCAGTTGGAGTGGTTCTAAGAAATATTGCAGAGTTTTATTACTTTACACAATTCAATTAATCCCAAAGTGAGTTAAGTTTCCATCGTAAATGATAATGGAAGATGCACCTTGTTCATGGTTACTAATGGCACGAGTGAGTTAAAAAATGCGAGAAACGCTCCTCCAAGTTTTTCCATATCTCAAAAGCAGATGAATCATAGAGAATGCTATCTGCTACATCTGCGGAAATCACATTCCATGTCCATGATACTGCCATGTCATTTGCACGATCCCACAGCTGATGATGTGGAGATATAGTGGGATGACGTGGCAAGGTGCCTTTGGCAAAACCAAGTTTGTTCTTGTCATTTGAAGCACGAGAGACCAATTGTAACAATGGTCTCCTCTTAATGGTTTGTTAACTAGGCTGTTAATGGTTCAGATCAAGATATATTATATTCATCTAATTAATTAAATAAATTCGACATATAATTTTTATTATATGATTCAAAATTGGCTTTGACAGTAACTTGATTCGAAATTAAAAATAATATTATTAAACAGCCACTCTCTGCCGACGTTTTTCGACCGAGTGCCACATTTCACGACAAAAATTTGCACAAGATTCTAAATTTATTACCTGTCGGCTCACCGCTACTGCTAAGTTATAAAATATTAGGAAAAAGATCATTGAAAGGGGGAAGTGATGTGAAGCCAGATACTACTATGATCACAAAATGAGGAAAAGAAATCAATTCAAATCACAAAACTTCAAAACTAACTCACCTTCTCCTTCTCGTTCTTTTTTAACCAAATTAAGCACGTTCGGTCATTGAGGTGTGGTGGATGCGGACGACGAAGTCAATGCATCTCTGCCACTTCTGTGTTGGTAAGTAGTATATATTTCTTTCTTTCAAGCTATTCTGAAAACAAGATTTCAATTTAAATGCAAAATAATGTTCTAGTTTGGAGTTGTATATCTTCGATACGATTTATGAATATAAAAATAAGTGATCGATAGATGGCTTGAGTTCATGATGCAGATAAGAATTTCTGAATTTGCTGTTAAAGAGTGTTTTATACGAAAATGTGAAAATCATGACTTCGTGGTCAAGTTATGATAATCAAATCAGGTAGATAAAAGGGTTCAGTTCTCTTGTGGTGATTCGTAAAGTCTTCTGCTTCCATTTATTTATATGGTAGCAAGATGTATTTTCTGAATTACTGAATAATTATTGAATGATTTTTTGATTATTTACTCCTTGCCATCATTAGATTTCAGCTTTAAGAACCTTCAATTCTAGCCAGGAATTTGGCAGGAGGAAACTCTGAAATCAAGAAATGGCTGTAGCACCTGCATACCACATAGCGATGTACCCTTGGTTTGCGTTTGGTCACCTTACCCCATTTCTTCACCTTGCAAACAAACTAGCAAAGAAAGGCCACAAAATCTCCTTTCTTCTCCCTACCAAAACACAGTCCAAGTTACAACAATTCAACCTGCATCCTGATCTCATTACCTTCTTTCCAATCACTATTCCCCATGTGGATGGCCTCCCTCCAGGCGCTGAAACCACCTCAGATGTACATTTCCCTTCTTTTACACATATCATGACTGCCATGGACCGTACTGAGAGTGATATTGAAGTATTACTCCGGGATTTAAAACCCAATATTGTCTTATTTGATTTCACCTACTGGATGCCAAGACTGGCTTCCCGCTTAGGTATTAAGTCTATGTACTACTGTGTTGTCAGCTCGGTAACTATTGGATATACAGTGTCTCCGGCTAGAAGAGAAAGTGGGAACAACTTAACTGAAGCTGACTTTATGCAGCCACCCTTAGGCTTCCCAGACTCGCAGATCAGGCTCAAAGCTCATGAGGCACGAGGATGCACTAAAAGAAGAGTTATGAAGTTTGGTAGCGATGTCTTGTTCTGGGATCGCTTATATTTCGGATTGAGCCAATGTGATGCACTTGGATTCAGAACATGCCGAGAAATTGAAGGACCTTATCCTGACTATGTTGGAAAACAATTTGGCAAGCCTGTTTTGCTTTCAGGACCAGTTATACCAGAGCCAAACCCCTCAACTTTAGACGAGAAGTGGTCCAAGTGGCTTGGAGAATTCAAGGCCAATTCTGTGATATACTGTGCATTCGGAAGTGAATGCACTTTGGAGAAGGATCAATTTGAAGAGTTGCTCTTAGGTTTGGAGCTCACTGGTATCCCATTCTTGGCAGTTCTGAGACCACCTGCAGGTTACGAGTCCATTGAACTCGCATTGCCTGAGGGTTTTCAAGAGAGGATCCGTGGAAGAGGTATGCTCCATGGAGGATGGGTTCAACAACAGTTGATTCTGGAGCATCCATCTGTTGGTTGCTTCGTTACTCATTGTGGCTCAGGTTCTTTATCCGAGGCATTGATAAATAAATGTCAGCTGGTTCTGCTACCACATGTAGCGGACCATATATTCCAAGCAAGAATAATGAGCTTGCATTTGAAGGTTGGAGTGGAAGTTGAGAAAGGAGAAGAAGATGGGTTGTTCACCAAGGAAGCTGTCTTTAAGGCTGTCAGGACTGTAATGGATGAAGACAGTGAAGTTGGCAGAGTTGTCCAGGCCAACCGTGCAGCATTGAGAGAGTTATTGAGCAGCAAGAGTCTCGAGTCCTCTTATATTGACAGTTTCAATGAACAGCTTCAAGTTCTTCTCGGCTGATTGCTCTTTCGGTGGCTGTATCAACTTTAAACTCTTATTTGTACCTACAAATGTAATGGATTTGATGAGTTCATGAAGCCCATCCCTGCTTCCTGGTTTAACCAATGAAGAATAAGGCAGGTGTGCTTGTTTTATTTAATCTGTCCAACCTACGTCGACACAAATATCTAGCTATGCTGCGCATACCGTCGAAAAAAATCATTTTAAAATTTTTTAATTATAATATTTTCTAATGTTTTTTTTATAATAAATTCTCTACTTAAAAAAATATAAATCATTCTTTTTTATGGATTGATTTTAAAATAAAAAATAATTTTAACTAAAATATTAATCAAGAATTAAAAAATTTTTAATTTTTTTTCATAATTATATTTCAAAAAATAAAGTTACAATTAATGGACAAATTTTTATAAAAAATAAAAAATAAAAAAAATCTTATTTAAATTTGATGAGAAGATTAATTTTTGAAATTATCATCGGAATGCTATAAATAGAATAAAATCATTTCAAAATTCTATAATTTTTTCATTAATTTATTTTTTCATTAATTTTTTATTTAATTATTACTATTTTTTTTTTTATGTTTTTCATAATATTTATGCTTAAAATAAACATGATTTATTCTTTTTTATTTAGGAATTCTTAAATAAAAACTTGTAATAATTTAAACCTGAAATGTTAATTAAGAATTAAAAAATAAGTACTTTAAAAATGTATATATATTTTTATAAGAATGCATCTAAAAAATAAAGCTACAATTAATGTATAGACTTGCATAAAAATTAACTAATGAAAAAATAAAATTTTATTCTTATTTAATGTTGGTGAGAAGATTTTTTTTTTTTTAAGTATATGCATTTGATCTTTATATATTTATTTAAAAAATAATCAATAAAATTAGCATAAAAACTGTATTTGGATAATTGGTTGATTTCTTTAAAAGATTATTATAATTATTTTATTTCAAAAAATTGGTTCTATAATGTTAAAAAAATATTCATAGTAACTAATTTATATTATGATGAAAGATGTATAGTTAATTTTTAATAAGAAAAATGATTCAATACTTTTTTATATATATCTTGATTATACCTAGTAAACTATGATAAATTATTTAAAATACACTTTTATATGCAACTATCATTTAAAAATTCTAAAAATCATGATATATATATATATATATATATATATATATATATATATATATATTATACCAATTTATTTTTTTAAAAAAGAAAAAAGCATCATGTTTTTAAATTTTATTCTAAAATTCAAACATAGAGAAAAATAATTTGGATGAGAATTTTCATAAAAAATAATAAATTCAAATAATAAAATTTAAATAATAAAAGTAATATAAGCTAAAGTGTGTGTGTGTATATATATATGTATCTACGTATGTATGTATGTATGTATGTATGTATGCTATGTGAAAATGAAAGAAAAAAGAAAGCTAAAGATTGAAAAAAAAAATGTTACAACATGAGGGACGAAAATAGAATAGAGTGTTAAATTTGCATATTAATATCCAAAAATACACAAAAAACTACACACAAGAATTACTTAAATTTTCATCAAGTAAATAGTAATTTTATGTATATGAAGAGTCTGTGAATATGAATTTTAAGCACATGAGCAATTTGGATTCCTGTGCTACGTTGTGGACCGAACTAGCACGGGAATCCGAACTAAACATATTTATTTCAGTTTGATTATATATACTATGTTGTACGTTAATTAAAATAAATTAAATTAAATATAAAAGATAAAATTTTATCTAATTTTATAATTTTTAATCAAAATTTTGTATATATATATATATTTATGTTTTGAATAAATTTTGAAGTAAAAAAAATATGATTTGTTCTTTCTTATGCATTTATTCTTAAATAAAATAATAAACAAATTTTAACATAAATTAAAAAAAAAACTTCCTTTTTTTTTTTTTTTACAACATAGCATCGAAGAAATAAAGCAAAAATTAATATAAAAACTTGTACAAAAATTAACAAATGAAGCTTTTTTTACTAACGAGAAGATTATTTTTTTAAATATGTACATTTGATTTATATATATTTATTGACAAAATAATGAATAATATTAGTATATAAAATTGTATTTGAATTATCAAGCGGTTATTCTAAAATATTATTTCAATTATTTTATTTTAAAAAATTAATTTTAAAATATTAAAAAATAATAGCAAATAGTTGGTATTGTGAGTGTAGATGAATAGTTGATTTCTAATAAAATCAATGACTCTAATATTATTATTTTTTATACATCATGACCGTACTCAATGGGTGAGAATGTGTAGCATAAATTGAAAAATATTTTTTATAAATAAATTATAAAATTTATATTGAAGTTAATAAAGTGCAATAAAAACTATAAAATTAATTTCGATAAAATTTAATTATATAAAGAGTAAGAAAATAAAATACGTATATTCAATTTTTAAAATTTGATTATATAAGAATTAAGCAAATAAAAATAGGTATAAAAAAACTTATTCGAATCCATACATAAAGATAATAAATCATATTTATTAATAAAAAA